AATAGTCTCACACATTTCTTTTATCATTTTAAGTCAATTACAAAGTTTGATATTATAGAACTTAATCAATTAATATATATATATATATATATATATGTATATATATCAAAAGAAACAATAGAAGATATGATAAAACAACTTCATATCATGTATAATATCGATTTATATTAGTTTAGTATCTAATATATGATTATCAACTATTTATCTTCACTATTTTTTTTAAAAGTATCATCACCGTGCAATGCATTGTTCCGAACACTATAACAATAACACCCATATATAGTGTTTGAGCAAGACACCTTTTGAAGGTGAACGGTCTCCGGCCGGCAATCTTCATTGTCTTGAATAGCGGCACTTAATTGGAAAGTTTAGCCCTGTGTTTAAACATAGATTTGTGGTAGATTTTGCGTATGTGGTGCCTTTCCTATTCTATGTATAGTAAGATGATAATAGAATTGTGTGTGCATATATATATATATACCTTAATTAAGGAAGAAAAAGGATGGTATAATGAGTTGCTAGGGCACAACCATGGATAACCTCTCCTTTCTAGAATCTAAAAGCATAAATAGTATATGTTTCCTAATTGAACGCCATTAAACTTGCTACATACAAGGTTGTAATCCTACTAACCTTGTAGCTAGGGTTTTAATGTTAGAACTTAGAAGTGAATGAAGAAGCAAGTTGGGGGAGAGGGGTTATGTCACATTAATGAGGTTAATCATCTGTTTAAATTAATAAAGAGAACTGTTAGACTTTTTTATTCATATCTTCAGAGCAGATTGAATCGGAAAATAAGAAGTTTAAAACTTTGTATTACATATCCGGTCCAACCAGTATTACAACGGGTATGCTAATCAATTAGATTGATGAAGTAGCAATTAATGCAAAAACAGATTGAAATACGAGATTCTTGTAATTCCTATCATCACATAACCCAATTCTCAGTTTATGAGGTGGACGTAATATATATGAACTTTAAATTTAAGAAACTGGATATAAAGGAGGCAGTTATATATAATATGTATTGGCAAACCCTTGTGTTAATTGGCTTCTTGAACAGTAAAGCTTCGTGACTATATATAACATGCTCCTATTGTCCCTATGTGATCGATTTAATGTTTTTTATGTGTTAATTTAACCTACACTTGTAAGTTCTACCGAGTACATTTTTCGAGGAGTATACTTCAGGGTCCAAGAGAAAAAAGAAAACGAAAGCGAGAAATGTATCTCTTTTCTGTGCATGTAAACCAAAGACAGAACACTAAAAATGTGGATTTAGTGGCATGTTGATCAATTTATTTTGAGATGAAAAACATAAATTTTTTGTTACTATTACAAGAAGGGTATTTATTGGTAAATTATGGAAGTTATTTCGGTAGGTTAGTTAACAGTTAATTAAAATGTTAGTCAATATCATACATAAATAGGTTTGTAACTTTTTATTTTTCATATGAAAATTTCTATACTTTTCTTCGTTGAGATTTCCTAATCTCCGCTATTCTACATGCCATCGTGCCAAAGTCACCTAATAAGTCTTCAACTACGCAAAGTTCTGATAAATTACATCCCTACTCATTATTCTGATAATACCTTTCCAGTAATATTTACCAAAGAAGAGCCTAAAATAGATCGATGATCCCATATATAATAGATCGGTGCAAACATGAACTATGATTAGTTAGACTACACTTGATATCTAACCAACCCTTAGCTAGATTGATGACCCCATAATTTACAAATGTAAAACTGTCATCGCCTCCCATATTGAGATTTTTTTTACTTATTTTTACATTAGTTCTTTATTGTGTAAATGATTTACTCAATATCTAAGTCGTAAATGTTTGCAAGATCTAAATACTTGTGTTCCACAATACCCCATTCGAATAATTTGTTTCAATATCTTACTTTATCTAACCTTATCTATTAGTGTGTGTGCATATACACACACACTCTCTCTCTAGATCTCTTTCTCTCTCTCTCTCTCTCCCTCCCTCTCTCTATTCTTATATCTTTTCAATTATAAGAAACTAGAAAATTGTTAACAAGATCAACAAGGTGGCAATTGTGACTAATCATAAAGGCATGTCATACCACACACTGAACAAATAAAGTCATACCAAAACTATATATTCCATTCATAGGTGAAATTCATCGACAAGTAAAGATAAAATGATCGTGAAAACATTGTTTTTTATTACTTTTGATGAAACGTGATACCAATGTATTAATCATGTTGCTTCTGAAGCAAGTTCAAACTGCAAGTCATCAGAAAAATATGGAAATAATGAATGAAGTTGAAAATCAGTTAAAACATAAGTACCACCCTAACATCCCTTAAATGATATTGCAAGACGCTAAATCATATACACACATATGTGTGTAATGAAATTTGTCAAAACAATTGAAATTTGGAAGCAACTGAAATGATATGTTATCAAGTTTTACTAAATGTTTGGTTGGTAGGAAATAGAATGTAGTTTATCAAATGAATTGGAATCGGTTTATTTGATTTATAAAGGAATTGGAATGAAAAATGAGGAAAATACCCATTTTTATGATATTTTGCTAATTTATTGTTTAAATTATTAAAATTGCAAAGTTTTAAGATCTTTACAATAAATTACCCCTTTTTTAGAGGGAATAAATTAAAAAAAGAGAGAAAATTACCCTTTTTAAGCTTAGCCTTTTACGATTATTTCAAGGTTTTTAATTAACTTCTTTTTTTACCTTTTATTGATTTATTTATTTCTAAAATTTTGAGTTTAGAAGAACACAAACAACCCACAAGAGGGATTTTAAATTTCCATCTAACATCCTTCTTCTCCATTCTTTTTCAACAAATCTGAACATCAACGCAGCAAGATCTAAGATGAAGGTCGACGAAGAGTTGTAGATCGATGAAGGGTCCGGAAAAGAAGAGACAACCGCGAGTTTAGGGTTTCAAATCGTGAGTTTTACCATATTTGATGGAGAAGATTGTTTTTTTAAATGAAAGTCTCTTGAATACCCATGATATCTGAGCATTTCAAAATTTTATCAGACCATTGAGATGAACATATCAGGAGTAATGCCAAATCACCGAGAAGAACAAATTAAGGGCAGTACCAAATCACTGAGAGGAGTAGATCGAAAGGAGAACATATCGAGTGATGATTTGCAAAACTCGACCGCTGGATAGAGAGTCTTCGATCAATGGAAAGAAACTAGATGGGTGAGGAGTCGATGAAGCACTTGTTGAGAAAGAATGTGTTGCTAGGGTTTTATGATGAGCGTATTTTTTGTCATTTTTAAAATCTTGGTTGGAATGAATTTCAATTTCATCTCATTTATGAAGGAACGGTGAAATCAACCTTTGAGGGTAATGTTTGGATTTTAATTCCATTCCATAAATAACCAAATGTCGGAATGAAATTTGATCAATGAAATTGACCATTTCAATTCCATCGAAACCTCAACAACTTAACGCCCCTTTACTTCATACTCATAGCAGACTTAAGAAAAAGTATGACACTCATGTTTTTGCATTACTGCTAATATAATAACATTAATGTAAACTCTTACATTAGAGTGTGTGAGAGATATAGCTTGTGTCTTTGCTCACAAACCCTCTCTCTACTGTAACCATTTCTAAATCACTTAGTTCATTCTTTTATGCTGATTTTTTATGTTTAAATAAATACATATTCTTAAATGAATTTTGTCCATTTAATTTATGATTTTGCTACAGAATGATGGATAAAATCGCATTAATTGATTAATAAAACCTATAAAAGAAATTAAAAAGATGAATGGGAAATTTAATTATTAACAAATTAATGTTGACCAACATTAATCAAAATGAAACATATATTATTTTTGGTTGTTATTTGAACAGACCAATTTTCGATAGTTTTATTTTGTTGTTAAATTAATACGGTTAATTTGTGTTTATTAATTAATTATACTTGGCCTTTTCAATTGTATAAAAAAAATAATATATACTTTGGCCCTGTTTGTTTTTTTCAAAATTACCTCTTAATACTTCTGAAAAGTCTGATTCGTTCAGACATTTGGATATTAAGAACGTTTGTTTTTATTTCTAAAATAAGAGCAATTAATCATAATTCACTCTCTATCAAATGGTTTTTATTTTGGGGGCTGAAAGAGCTTTATTAGCAAAAAACTATTTATTGTTTATACTTTGGTAAAAATTATTTATTCTTTATATTTTTGTACTAGTTTGACCGATTCATATTTTAGACTTCAGATATAATAACAAACAATTTAACTGATCCAGATCTCAGAATTCAGAACCAGCTCTTGTAAATCAAAAGTGAAATCAGACTTCAGATTTCAGAACCTCTTAAAAAACAAACAACACCTATATTTCAATATATTTAATTAAATATTTATCAAAGTTTATGATCAACATTAAATCGTGTATATATAATTCATGAATTAATTCTGGTCAAAAAATGGATATGTAATAAAGAAAATATTCCTCAAATAATTAATTAATGTCTGAAAAATAAACATAAATAGAGTTTCACTTAATCATAGCAAGTGAGTGATAGAATTACACTTTCATTTCAAAGCAACAACGAAACCCTAAAAAATTAGATATCATCTCAGATAATTACTAATTCACTAAACTTGTTACAAAATTCACCCTAACTCTAAGCGGCAATTAGGACAAGAGCGATGGTATGTTACCCACCGGTTAATGCAATCCACATGGAAATGATGGTTGCAAGGAAGCCTGCCTGCCTCTGAACCCACCTCCAATTCCTCTAAACAAACGCTGCAATTCGCCAATCTCTCCTCTACATTCACCCTCACGAGCGTCGGTGGCCCAAGCTCCGCTGCTGGGCAAGTGAAAAGGAGAAAAACCTCCAGCGGCAGCACCCTTCGTCCCGCGTTGGATTCATCTGCCATCATTTCTCCTGCACAGATGGTGACTCGGAAGATTACCTCGCTCAGAGCTTCACGAGGCGATCCCACCTGGTCCAAGAAACGAATAATATCCGCCAAGACCAACCGATTCAGTTCGGAGACATGTTGACATGGCGCAGACATCTCCAATGTATGTCTTGTGGTAGCTCCGCTGCTACGAAAGAAAACCGTCAACTTTATGAAAAACAGGCGGGTGTTAGGTTGCAGAGTTTCAAGCAGATGGGTCGGGACGATGGCGTCATTGGCGGACCTCGCAACCGCCTGGAAAGTACGGGGAGGCATTCTGGGCGTTAGATATGAGGAAAGAGGAGTTTTTAAAGAGAAATGATGAAGTTTTGAGTTGGTTCTTTACATATATATATATATATACAGGGCTCATCGTAATATAATTTAGCCATTATATATTATATATATTGTCTTTTATAATATAAATAAATATATATATATATATATATAATATATATATATATAGAGAGAGAGGGGGTACATATGAAGTTTTGAGTTGGTTCTTTACATATATATTATATAGATAATTTGTATAAACTTAGATACCAATTTTCATATGTTCTTTTACATATGAAAGAACCGTAAAAAAGTAGTATTTAGAGGGTGTTTTTTCATATATGAAACATTTATGATCTTTTTTATATGTTGAAAAAACAGTCCTGGATGCCTACTATGAATTATTGGGTTTATAAAATAAGGTATATATATAGGAGATTTACTTTGCAAACCACGTTATTTGTATAAACCGTACAAAACTCATTTAACCAATCATAATTTTTCATTTTATTCATTTGTTTTTGTAATTATGAGAAGTTGATTAATCATTTTTAGTGGAGGGTGTTAATCATGGATATTATCATTTTCATTATCTTTATTTAAGAGAAATAACTGAAACAGTTCCATTAAGTATTATATGAAACAATTTCATAACTATATATGAAATAACTTCATCAAAAAAAAAAGTAATATATGAAATAATTTCATAAGATTAAACAATTTCATGAAAATTTTTCATAAGATTAAATAATGAAATCGACGGATGAAGGTGGTTTGCACGGTTTGTACAAATTGGGTAATTTGCATTTGATCGCTCATATATATATAGGGACAAGATCAAATATTAACCAAGGTTTTTGTGTTAACTTTGCAAACCATGTCAACCAATCACAATCAATTCTTTTATTAGGTTTCTATCATGTTCACAATTTAATGCCAAGGGTAATTGAGTAATTTCATTTGATATGTAACTCCCATACCATTAAAGGGGAGTTACAAAATCATAAAATCTCTAAAAATATACATTTATAATATTGATATTTTATTTATTTTTTAATCTTGATCTTTCATTTTTATTGTTTTATGAGTTTTTGATTCATGGAGGAAACACGATAGTAAAATTTTCGGTATCATTCAAGCTATTATGGATAAATGCATTAAAAAAAATCAACATTGAGAAGATTAAAATGGTTTATGGTGACAATTGGAGTTCGAGTTCGGGAAATGAATAAATTAACCAAAGTGAATGCCTTGTTAATGGATTAATATTTTATTAGACTCGTTTTAATCAAAATTATGTTCATATGATGTGTTGTGTTTTTTGTAGTTCATATTGCGTTGATAACTTTTTCTTTAATTGTTAATACGTACTTAATTCACATGTTCAAATGGAAGTACATGCACGATCCATTTTCATATTGTCATATTACCGACTTTTATGAATCATGAACCATTGTGTTCATGTTACTTCTATCATATGAACACAAATGTTTTTTTTTAAGTTGGATACCAGATTTTTATATTTGTGTAAGTGTTTGCATCCGGTGTTCATAGCGTCGGGATTATGTGTTCATATTTTTTATATGATATGAACAAGGAGGTGAACAACCACATAAGACCAGAAACATACATGAACAAGGGGTGAACAACCACATAAGACCAGAAACATATATGAACAAGGGGTGAACCTTAAACGGTGTAGATGCAATGCATGTATAAAACTCCAATTGACAAATGATCGCTCCTGAATGTGTTTATAATGAAGGAACTATTGTTCACAAGCTGTTCATATTGTATTCATACTTTTTATTTATTTATTTCCTTTCGTATAGTAGTTATTCTTATTACGTTCATAATTGTGTTCATAAATGCTATTCAGTCCAAGTTCATATATATGTCAATTTTTTGTTCGTATTTGACACAATTATTCATATATATATAGTTGTGTTCATATGATTCTTACATTAATAAAAATAAATTAATAAAAATGATAGAATTTTTTGATTTTGTAACTCCCAATTAATGATATGGGAGTTACATAATTTTTTTTTTATCTAAATACCCTTTTCAACTTTGTTCATTTATCTTTATAAAATTTTAAATTTAAAAAAATAAGTTGTTATCATGATTAATCACAACCGTTTATTGAAAGATTGAATGACCAAGATCGATTAACAAAGTTAACACAAAAACTTTGGTTAACATTTGAACCTGACCCTATATATATATATATATATATATATAGAGAGAGAGAGAGCTTGGTTCAAATGTTAACTAGGATTATTGTGTTAACTTTGTTAACCAAGCTCAACCAATGAAAATTCATCTTTTATCTATGTTCATATCCATCTCATAATTTAATGACAAGGGTATTATGTAATTTTAGTTTGTATGTAACTCCCATATTATTAATTGGGAGTTACAAAATCAAAAAATCTCATAATTGTTGTTGATTTACTATTGATCTTGTTTTTCTATAATATTGATTTATCTATCTATAATGTTTTTGAATTTGTGATTGTTAAAAGAGACCCGATAGTAAAGTTTTCGATATGGGAAGGTTAAAATGTGTTCACAAGTGTTCATATTGTGTTTATATATACACTAGCTGCATATCTCAACATTGGTTCGCTCCTGAATGTGTTTATAATGAAGAAACTATTGTTCACAATTGTTCATATTGTGTTCATATGTATACTAGCTGCATATCTCAACATTGTCTCGCTTCTGAATGTGTTTATAATGAAGGTTCTATTGTTCACAAGCTGTTCATACCTGTTTTTTTTTATCTATTTTCTTTCGTGTAACAATTATTCTTATTATGTTCATATTGTTTTCATAAATATTATGCAGACCAAGTTCATATATATGTCAATTTTTGTTTGTATTTGACATAATGGTTCACACACACACATATATATATATATATATATATGTGTGTGTGTGTGTTTGTGTTCATATGGTTCTTACATTAACAAAAATAATGAGATTTTTTGATTTTTTGTAACTCCAAAATTAATGATATGAGAGTTACATAATAAAGAAAATTACCTAAATACCCTTTTCCCTTTGTTCACATATGTTTTTTGAAATTGTAAATTTAAAAAATTAATTGTTTACCATGATTAATCACAACCGTTTATTGTAAGAATCAATGGCCAAGATTGGTTAACAAAGTTAACACAATAATCTTGGTTAACATTTGAAACAGCATACATACATACATATATATATATATATATAGATATAGTAAGAGAGAGTGAGAGAAGATCAAATGAGAAGACGGTCAATTTGTGAGAAAGAGGTTACAAATCACATGTGATTACAAAAGTAATATCACATGTCTACAACATGCCTAATTAAAAAGGACGTTGTGACTTGGTCAATACGACCAAGGGTCACAGGAAAGGTCGTTTGCTCTATGGCCGATTAACTTGACATGTTTGTATCACATGTAATTATGTATTTTGTATCAAATATGTATCGAAACTTATTGCATTATTGTAAATTGATAGTCTTCTCATTTGTCTTGTCTCTTTCTCATACATACATACATACATACATACATACACACACTTCTGTAACACCCCCAAACACCACATTTGCATAGAACACATATTTCATTACATAGAAACATGGATTACATTAAAAGGTCCCGCTAGTACAAGGATTGCTATATGTACAAAATCTACATATAAAATTCTCGAAACAAATCATGTACTACTACATGTAATATAACATGTATCTTCAAAAGCAAACAACAGGTTAGGAAAATAATCATATTTTCCCTTTCCCTTTTATATCCCCGGACCCAGCTATTCCTGCATTGCATAAATTAAAACAGAAAATGAGGGTTAGACCATATGGGTCTAGTGAGAAAATCCTTTCTTTGCAAATGCAGGGTGATGAACACCAAAATGTTTACAAATAATTGATGCAGTTTACAATATTATGCAAAATAATGTAAACTCAAGAATCACAGTTCCATAAAATATTTCTAATTCAAGATTTATTGTTTCCAATATGAAACAATACTAGCACTTCTTGAATTATCAAACTATCCATTAAAATAATCAAAAAGATTTAAAGTAATATTTGCCTGATATGACAAACCATTTTCCTCTTCTCAATAACATCTAGATTATTACTTCTAAATAGGAATAATATTTTTAATTCATCAGATCACAAAGAAATGATGACTCAAAGTTATTAAATCTAATTTAGTAATAATAATAAGAGTTACAATAATAATATCCACATATGACAATGCCACCCTTATTCCAAGTACACCTCTCCTTGATATGTCAACCTTATTCCTCATTTTCTGATTATTTTCGAAGAAGAAGAAGAGTGAAGTGAGGTTGATAGATTTACAAAGTATCTGGTTGCAAGAAGTGAATTTCAGTATTTGATTTCAAAAGCTTGATAAGGTGAGTAGTTTTTAAAACTCTCTTGCGTAAAGATTATTATTGGTTTTATATGAATTTTATTGAATTTGGATAGAAATCAGTTTTTTTGCTCTAAGAGTTTATCCGGATGTTAAACCGGACAATGTTTGTTCGGTTTATTTTAAATCGGACAAAGGGTGGAAAATAGTATTGTCCGAATTGTTTTAAATCGGACAAAGTATGATACATACATACATACATACATACATACATACATACATACATACATACGTATGTATGTATGTACGTACATACATACATACGTATGTACATGCATACGTACGTACGTACATACATACGTACGTATGTACGTACATACATACGTACGTAAATACATACKTACGTACATACATATACATGAGAGCGATCAAATGCAAAACACCCACATTCTTACAAACCGTGCACCAAATTCGATCAATCGTATGTATGTACATACGTATGTATGTATGTACGTACATACATACATACGTATGTATGTACGTACGTACATATACATGAGAGCGATCAAATGCAAAACACCCACATTCTTACAAACCGTGCACCAAATTCGAT